ATATATATGATTAGGTAGACTAGTGTGTCCTAATTTTTTTAATATTCCTGCTTTAATATGACGTTATAGTAATTTTGACCTTTAGAAAAATGCTTTTAGGAGAGATAACCTGTTAATAAGGACTGTACTTCTGTGCGTTGTGTCCAAGGTCCTGAAAGTGCTGGGAAATTTCAGGACATTGGACAGTGTGAAGGGCTGAATGAACTGTCCAAGGTCCTGAAAGTGCTGGGAAATTTCAGGACATTGGACACTGGGAAGGGTTGAAGGAACTGTTCAAGGTCTTGAAAGTGCTGGAATGTTTCAAGACCTTGGCCAGTAGGAAGGAATAAAGGAACTGTCCAAGGTCCTGAAAGTGCTGGGATATTTCAGGACATTGGACCGTGGGAAGGGTTGAAGGAACTGTTCAAGGTCCTGAAAGTTCTGGAATGTTTCAGGACCTTGGACAGTATGAAGGGCTGATGGAGCTGTCCAAGGTCCTGAAAGTGCTGGGATATTTCAGGAACTTGGACAGTAGGAAGGGTCGAAGGAACTGTCCAAGGAACGTGGTTTTGTATTAACAGCCAGAATAAATTAGTCAATGCATCTTTGAGACATGCTCCAAGATCCTGAAAGTGCTGGGATATTTCAGGAACTTGGACAGTAGGAAGGGTTGAAGGAACTGTCCAAGGAACGTGGTTTTGTATTAACAGCCAGAATAAATTAGTCAATGCATCTTTGAGACATGTACGCGTTTGTACCGTCTACAGGCAYATGACATTGAAAATCTGAAGAGGTTTCTTTCAAGCAAGAAACCASATGTGGTAGCTGTAGCGGGGGGAAACCGGTAAGAGGATGRTTTTTTCATATATAGTAGTTAGAGATCGACCGATACAGGTTTTTGAAGGCCGATACCGATTATTTTGACATCAGTCTAACCGATACACCAATACGTGCAGCCAATTGTTTGTGACATCCTGTGCCCAGAGTTGTAAAATAACTACAAATACTTTGTTACTATACTTAAGTAGAGATTTTGGTTATCTGTACTTTACTTAAGTAATTTGTTTTCAGCCTACTTTTTACTTCTACTCCTTACATTTTCACATAATTGTCTGTACTTTCTACTCCTTGCATTTTTTTAAAGGCAATAAGTAGAAAGTCATTATTTTTTATATTATCTTTGCCTATTTCCACTAAGGTTTGTTACTGTTGCACATTAACAGCACAAGTTTGCCGAAGTGCTTTACCGTTCAGTCAAACAAAATCTAAAACAGCCAAGAAAGCAAAGTAAGAGACATCGTTTTTCAATTTTATTTTATTTTATTTTATTTTATTTTATTTTATTTTATTTTATTTTATTTTATTTCTTCTGAATTACACAATGTTCCACTTGGAGGCGGTAGTGCGTCTGAAGCTATTATTGCTTGTTTTTTTTTTTAGAAGAAGAAGAAGAAACGCGTCTCCATCGGAAGTGTCATCACGCCGTTTTTCTCGGCCATCTTCAGTACTACAAGCTCTGAAAACATAAAACACAACATAAGTCATTTATTATAATAGTATACTCGGATTATACCACCACTCTGAAGCCAGTAAGTTTAATTTCGTTGTGGTATTTTTTAGAGGAATGTCCACATAATGCCGTCGCAATTAATGTTCGCTTTAACCATTGTTGTCGTCCAAGCTAAGCTTACCAAGCTAACATTAGAGGTTGGTTTACGGGCCTTAGCTTGTTGTATACAATTGTTTGCAAACGTAGTAGAAATATATTAGTATTCCTAATTGTATTTTAATCATGAAGTTGGAAGAAAGAACTTGTAACTAAAAATCTGCTTGAAAAGTTAGTCACTAGCTAACTTGCTAATGTTGCTACATGGATTAGCCTATTAGCGTCATTTCGTATTTGAGATTTTYAGCTCAAAACGATCGTAAAACTACAAGATGTATTACTCGCAGTTTCCGTAAAGATATTAGTTTGGTTTACATTAGATAATAATAGCATATCGTGTTACGTAACGCTTGTCAACATTAAACCAACTAATCTGTTGGTCACTAGCTTCGATGTGTGCGCATTGCGACACACTCGTCTTTTGCATATTTTGCTTTTGTTACGCAGATTTTGTGAAGTCGTTTTAGCACCGAAGACTTAACATTTTGTTTACAAACCTATGTTGCACTCATTTAAGTATTTCTCAGTCTAAAGGAAGCAGCTAGTTCAAAATTTAAGGAAAAAAATGTTTGAATGTTCAAGCTCTAACATATATGGTGGGATTTGTATTACTCAYGGTCATTTCTTAAATGCAGTGTTGTTAATGTGCAGATTACATGWCAAAATATAGAAGCATAAAGCTGTTGTAAACATTGTTGCATATGTTTTGTGTGTGTGAGAACACTGCAGTGCATGTATCGTGAAGTACTAAATGCATCTTGCACCTTTTTATTTTCTTTAGGAACATTTGTGATGTCAGACTTCATTGACAGCGAAGCGGAGGAGTCAGAGGAGGAGTTTGAAGAGAAGGACCTTAAACCTAGGAAGACTCAGAGGTTTCTAGAGGAAGAGGGTAAATCTGAATGCTTTAGCCTTGTGGGTGTATTACACCTGGTGGCCTTTTTGACCACTGTCATTCCACAATAGATGAAGAAGATGATACGGTCAACCCAGAGGAGCAGGATGAGCATGGAAATTTGCGTGGACTGATTGATGATGGAGATGATGTTGAAGAGGAGGAGGAGGAAGCAGCGAAAGGTGAAAGCGCACCGGGAAGCGACTCTGAAGAGGAAGTGAGGCATCGACGTAAAAAGCGCAGTAGGTTCAACGGGTGTTATTTTCTAAAGACATTACTGTTCAGCTWTTGCTCTTTGAAGATGTCAATAATTAAACAGCTTCTAAACTYTCTATTTTAGGTAGTATCACATTAGAAGCACATACAGTATTTTCAGTAGCATCTTTAGTTGCCTCATCAAAGGCTGCAGTGATACAGTAGCATCTTTTAACAAAGCAAGTGATTAGCGCAGTGCTTTTCTCATTAGGGCATAAAATGTTGTATTTGAACTCATAAATAATTACAGGTGCAAGTTATTTATCTTCAATGTGGAATGTTTTTTCAGTGTTTCTCCTACTATTGTACAAGGAGGGAGAACCCCTCTCCCAACAGAACCAATCGCCCCCAATTCCATAAAGTTGAGGGGTCGTATTAGTTATGAGAGTATATTTTGACAGTTTTTTTATTGTACTCTCAATAAGTTTCTGTATTTTTTTTGTGTATAACTGATATATTGTGACTGGGTTAACTCCTCCATAATTTCTCTCTTCCACTGTACGTTGTGCAGAACGAATATTAATGCATATTAAGAACCGTAGTTGGTTTTTTATCACACTGGAGTCAGAAAACTTTTGTTTCTTGTTAACTGCAGAGGTGAAAAGAAGATGCAGACATTTGTTTGTTCCCAAGATCATCTAGATAATTTCACAGTTGGCTTCTCCTGTCTGGGAGCGCAGCAGATCATTTTCAGCAAGATGTGGAAGCTCACATGTAAAGCGGGTTATTTTTACATTTATTAGGCTTCACCACACCTACGTTCCAGCGAGACATATTAGTTATTTAAGGGGAAGGATATAAGATTCAACCAATTCCAATTAAACTGCAGTCTTGTTCATGTTCTGTAACTTTTATAATAGTAAAAAATAAATAGATAAAACTGCTCTCTTTCATAAATATCAGTAAGGTTTCGGTTGTCAATTATCATTCTGTGTTCAAAAGCCCCCGCCCTCCCAAGGCCAATACTCTAGGGGATAAATGGAATATGAATGTGATAAATAATTGTTTGTGTATGTGCATGTCTTTACCTGCTGTCCTGTTGGCTCAAAGTCTACAAGTTTTAAACTTTAATCTTAAAAATCYCAACAGGAAATCATGTCATAGGTGTGTTAACAGTGGCGTAAATGCAGTGTGTTTTAATGTTTTTTTTTATTACAGAGTCTTATTTGCTTTTACAGGAACTGATGATGACTTGGATGATGATGATCTTGACCTAATTGAGGAAAATTTGGGAGTCAAAGTGAAAAGGAGAGTAAGTGTCRTTTTAAAAGAATGACATCACAGTTTAAGTTTAGGCTCCAATAATGCTGGATTTTTATCAAGTTTGATCTTTTTTTATGTTAAAATTTGTAAGCTTACAGTTTTGGTGCTGTGCTYGTTTTGTTTCATAGAAGAAGAAATACGATCGTGTAAAAACACTGGACGATGACGAAGACGATGACGAGAAGGACTTGATCGAAAATGAGATCTTTGACAGGGATGATGAGCGTGAGCTGGAGGAAGGCGAGGCTATTGATGAACCTCTCCGACATCCAGAAGATGAGGAAGAAGGAGAGGAGGAGGAGTCAGGTTGGCAGAAAGATTACTTGGACCTGTTTTGAAATAAACAAGTAATACCAAAATAAACATGTATTTAAATTCACGTTTGTTCTACAGATATTGACGATTTTATTGTGGATGATGATGGCCAACCCATCACCAAAAAGAGGGGCAAGAAGTTCTCAGGATACACTGATGCGTGAGTTGTGGGATTTTTTATTTATTTTAATTTAATTTTTTTTCTATTATTCGTATTTAAAGATTATTAATGGATCATGATCTGTTTGTACAAGTGTTTCTATGTTAACCTAAAATAAGGACGAACATTTAAGCACTTAAATCTTTAAACCTTCGTCTACAGAGCCCTCCAGGAAGCTCAGGAGATTTTTGGTGGCGACTATGACTTTGCTGACTTTGACATGGATGCCTATGATCAGGGTGAGGAAGAGGAAGAAGATCAAGATGAAGAAGGCTGGGACCGGCCAAAAAAACAGACAAAGAGGAGGCTGGGAAGAAAGAGCATCTTTGAGATCTATGAGCCCAGCGAGCTGGAAAGCAGTCAYATGACCGACCAGGATAACGAGATCCGGACCACAGACATGCCTGAGAGGTTCCAGGTGTGTGTCTGTTGGTTCAACAGTAAAACAATAATATATGTTGGGTTAACGTATATTTTTCTGTGTTGCAGTTGCGATCCATTCCTGTTAAACCTGCTGAGGATGATGAGCTGGAAGAAGAAGCAGAGTGGATCTTCAGACACGGATTCTCCACTCTGACCATCTCTATGCAGGTACAAACCCAACRCCTTTATTTACAAAGCAAGGCTATTAATCTTCCACAACATTCTTTTTATTACTGATTGTTTGTCTTGACAAAAACCATTTCCACAACAGGAAAGCACAGATTATCTTGACAGAGGAACAACAACAAACTTCAGCAGGAAAGGGCCCAGCACCATTGCAAAGATCAAAGAGGCCCTCAACTTTATGAGAAACCARCTGCTTGAGGTTCAGAGTTTCATTCAGTTATCAGGCTTCTAATTATTGTCTGTTAGAATGCCTTGAATCTGACCCAATGATATTTTTTTACTTTACTGTTTTTTCAGGTTCCATTCATAGCTTTTTACAGGAAAGAATACGTGGAGCCAGAACTGAATATCAATGATCTGTGGAAGGTGTGGCAGTGGGATGAAAAGGTACGCTTTATTTTTCTGAAAACACTACAGAGCTACATTCATTCAGTTTAAAGCTTAGAACTTACATTTTCTTTCATTTAACTTAAACACGACTCRAACGACTGTATTAGGAAGAAAATGATAAAAGTTGAATAATAAACTGAACAAAAGATTACATTTTTTGCCAATCTGTTTGCAGCATTTTCCAATCAAGTCACTTAAGATTTATGAAAAGGAAAATGTGATGAAGTGAACTGATTTTATTGTGTTTTGTTTATTTTTCTCGCTGTTCTTGTTTTGCACCTTTCCCTTCTCAACAGTGGACTCAGCTGAAGACCAGGAAGCAGAACCTGACCCGTCTGTTTCAGAAGATGCAGGCCTTYCAGTTTGAGCAGATATCTGCTGACCCAGATAAACCTCTGGCTGACGGCATTCGTCCTCTGGACACGGCTGACATGGAGAGGTACAACACCGCAGCCTTGTCCTTTGTTTTAATCATACCAAGTAAAGAGTGGTTATGTAAAATCAGCACAAAATTTTGTTAATTTAAATTTGTTTATTCGTCACGTCAAAGGCTGAAAGATGTGCAGACTCTAGAAGAACTGGGTGACGTGTACCATCACTTCCTGCTCTACTATGGACGAGACATTCCCAAAATGCAAAACAGTGCAAAAGCCACCAAGAAGAAGCTCAAGAAGATTAAAGAAGTTACTGAAGATGGTAAAACTGATGAGGGTCATTAATACTCACGGATGGAAATGTCATATTTTTTTTACAGTTTACTAATTCATTTGTAGGTGAAGAGGAAGAACTGGAAATTGAGGTGGAGGAGGAGCAGAAAGGACCTGACCTGAAGTTGGCGTCTCGTAGAGATATGTACAGTATCTGTCAAACCGTAGGACTTGGTTAGTCGCTTTTTTCTACTACGAGCACAACAAAGCTTGAGTTCAGGTTTCATTTCTGTGACTGCYAAGCTTTTCTACTGCTCCTTCTTTCCTACAGATGGCCTGGCTAAAAAATTTGGATTAACTCCCGAGCAGTTCGGAGAGAATCTGAGAGACAGTTAYCAGCGTCACGAGACGGAGCAATTCCCCGCAGAGCCGCTGGAGCTGGCAAAAGATTACGTTTGCAGTCAGTTCCCGACTGCTGAGGCAGTGCTGGAAGGAACCAGGTACATGGTGGCCATGCAGATTGCTCGGGAACCTCTGGTCAGACACGTTCTGCGTCAAACCTTCCAGGAGAGGGCCAAGATCAACATCAAACCTACAAAGAAAGGCAAAAAGGTACAGAAAGGTTTCAGAGCAAATATATATGAGAAAATGTCTCTTCTGAATAAATTCTTCCTTCTTTTTGTCACAACAGGAGATAGACGAGGCTCATTTTGCCTATTCCTTCAAGTATCTTAAGAATAAACCAGTAAAAGAGCTGAATGGAGATCAGTTTTTAAAGATGTGCCTGGCAGAGGAGGAAGGCCTCCTTTCCATTGATATCTGTATAGATCTAATAGGTGTCAAAGGGTAAGTATTATTAACTTTATTATTATCTTATTAAATAGTCCCAATTTATTTTAATTTATAACTTCAGAGAGACTGTATGGAGACTTTTAACCAGTTCAAACAGCTTAATCATTTGCAAACATCCTGCAGAACTGGTTAAGTGGGTTTTCTGAGTTTAACTTCTTCTAAATAAAAGCAGAAACTTCATGTTTTGTTTTTTATTCTGTCACTGAACGGTGGTGTTTTTAATTGTGACATGAATTGTTAAAGCTCTCCTTTCTCAAAGCCACGTCTGTGTTTTCCTTCTGTTTCTCAGGTATGCTGGAGACCAGACCTACTTTGACGAGATCAAGCAGTTCTACTACAGAGACGAGTTCAGTCACCAAGTGCAGGAGTGGAACAGGCAGCGAACCTTGGCCATAGAGAGATCTCTCAATCAATCCCTTTACCCTCAGATGGCCAAGGAGCTCAAAAGCAAACTGATAACTGAGGCCAAAGAGAGCATCATTAAGGTMATTTGTTGTTGGATTACATGGATGATCATTACAGCCTAAAACAACCATGCATATTTTTATTATTTGGGTAGTTTGTAAACCTATCAACTCCTCTTTTTTGTTGTTACAGGCTTGTTGTCGCCGGTTGTACAACTGGCTTAAAGTGGCTCCTTACAGACCAGATCAGCAGGTGGAGGAAGATGATGACCTGATGGATGAGAGTCAGGGAAAGGGCATACGAGTGTTAGGTGTTGCCTACGCACCCAGCAGGTATATTTACTGCAGAATATTTCTTTTTATGGGAGKCTTTTGGTTCTAACAACAGGATAGTGTGTAAAAATAGTTTTTACTGTGCTTGTGTGGGTAAAGAAGATGACTAATGTTTGTGTAACAGTTGTTTTAGTTTCTTATCTGTGATGTTTGCTTTGGCAGAGACACACCAGTTTTCTGTGCTTTGGTCAACGGGGATGGAGAGGTATTGGACTTTATTCGTTTGCCCTACTTCATGAAGAGGAGGAACTCCTACAGAGATGAAGAAAGAGAAAGAAAGGTACAGACAGGACTGTACTTCTGTGCGTTGTGTCCAAGGTCCTGAAAGTGCTGGAATGTTTCAGGACCTTGGACTGTGTGAAGGGCTGAGGGAACTGTTCAAGGTCCTGAAAGTGCTGGAATGTTTCTGGACCTTGGCCAGTAGGAAGGAATAAAGGAACTGTCCAAGTCCTGAAAGTTCTGGAATGTTTCAGGACCTTGGACAGTATGAAGGGCTGATGGAGCTGTCCAAGGTCCTGAAAGTGCTGGGATATTTCAGGAACTTGGACAGTAGGAAGGGTTGAAGGAACTGTTCAAGGTCCTGAAAGTACTGGAATGTTTCAGGACCTTGGACAGTATGAAGGGCTGGTGGAGCTGTCCAAGGTCTTGAAAGTGCTGGGATATTTCAGGAACTYGGACAGTAGGAAGGGTTGAAGGAACTGTCCAAGGAACTTGGTTTTGTATAAACAGCCAGAATAAATTARTCAATGCATCTTTGAGACATGTACGCATTTGTACCGTCTACAGGCACATGACATTGAAAATCTGAAGAGGTTTCTCTCAAGCAAGAAACCACATGTGGTAGCTGTAGCGGGGGRAAACCGGTAAGAGGATGATTTTTTCATATATAGTAGTTAGAGATCGACCGATACAGGTTTTTGAAAGCCGATACCGATTATTTTGACATCAGTCTAACCGATACACCAATACGTGCAGCCAATTGTTTGTGGCTGATTCTTGAAGCCGATACTGCTTTTTCTTTTTCCATTAACATGATAAAAGTAAAAATGATAACAAATGTTACACAAGTCTTAATTTAAACAAAAAGAAGCATTTATTAACTGAGCCTTGTCTGGTGCAGACTGAGTGAAGTGCTGCCACACAGGATTTCTTTTTTCAGCCATTTAAAAAAAAAAAGAAAAAATTACAGATTTATTTAATCTAATACTACTTATTCTGTTTTATTTATATATTAATCAGATTATATCTTTCTTTACATAAAATAAAATAAAATGACCATGTTTTAATATCCAAGCATTTTTTATGCAAAAACAGGAACACAGAAAAGGAGAGATGCATTTAAACCAGCTGAAGTAAACTTTAGAGCACAGTTTGAAATGTACACCGAAGTAAAACTGCATCACGACTTTTATACTGCAGTCAGAGCAAATGTGATCTGAGCAGCGTCTGGTTCACGTTTATGTGGACGGCAGCTCTTTACTCGCTCTTATGAACATAACAGCGAGAAAAGACAGAGAGCTTTTTTGTTTTAATCCAGCAGGGAGAACAAAAGAGGTCTTCTCCTGTGAGCAGTTCCAGCATTTAAAAAAAATAAAACAACGTGGACACGCTAATTACAGTCCGGTGTCAAAGTGAAAGTAAAAACATAGCGCTCCCGTTCAAATGTGAAACTTCAAAACACAGCTGTTCTCTCCTCCTCATATTCCGACACAGAGGGCAGAAAGAGCTAAATTTGACAGTTGAAACACTTTAAAAGTTCATAACTCACCCTTATTGTTGTTGGCACTCTGTCTCACAACATTAACAGCTGCTCTCTCCCAGGGAGGGGGCAGCAACATGCGCTCGTGTGACCCAAAAAATGGATCGGACGAACGTATCGGCCGATACCGATACAAGGAAAAAACACAAATATTAGCCAAAATATCGGCCGGTCGATGTATTGGTCGACCCCTAATATTAGTTAAAGTGTAATTGAGGCACACCTCTATCCCAGATTTTTATAAAAATAGCCTGTTTTATCTGAAAAAAGATCTGAGATGTTAAAAACATGCTGTCTGGGTACAGAGATGCTCAGATGATAATGGAGGATATAAAGAGAACCATCAGYGAGCTGGAACAGGAGTCGTCTCTTCCTGCTGTGGGAGTGGAACTGGTCGATAACGAACTGGCTACGCTTTACATGAACAGCAAGAAGTCTGAGGTAAATKCTCACAGCTTATTAAACAGAAGCGTATCTGTGGTTTTGGACTGTTGGGCTTATCCTCGAGGCTCACCTGTGCCGTCTTTCTTTCTGCAGACTGATTTTAGGGATTATCCTCCATTGCTGCGACAGGCTGTATCTATAGCCAGAAAGATTCAGGATCCTCTGATAGAGTACGCTCAGGTCTGCAGCACCGACGATGACATCCTGTGTCTCAAATTACACCCCCTGCAGGTGAGTGATTGTGTCTCCTCACAAGCAGCATTACAGCAGTTTCTGAGACCTTTACGAGAGACGTTTTGGTGCAGTGACTCAATAAATACGTCAGATTGTTTCTTTATGCCTTTTTAAAGTTTATCCGCCTGATTTAGACTCACCTAGTCTCGTCTTTCAAAAACACATTGATGTTTCACAGGAACACGTGGTGAAAGAGGATTTGCTCTGCGCTCTTTACTGTGAATTTATCAACCGGGTCAACGAGGTCGGCGTTGACGTGAACAGGGCCATCTCCCATCCTCACACTCAGAGTTTGGTCCAGTATGTCTGTGGACTGGGACCAAGGAAGGGGGCCCACCTTCTCAAGGTAGAAATTTGTGTGTTGATGACAAAATCTTCTTTTATTACAGGTCTATTATAGAATTGTTTTTTTGTTTTGTTTTGTTTTGTGCAGATTCTGAAGCAGAACAACACACGTCTTGAGAACAGAACACAGCTGGTCACAATGTGTCACATGGGTCCCAAAGTTTTTATTAACTGTGCCGGTTTCATCAAGATCGACACAGCATCACTTGGTGACAGGTTGGTATCTTTTACATTTTGTGTTACATCCATTATTCAACAGTCTCATGAACTAGAACGTACTCTGCTAACTTATAAATCAACTTGTTTACTTTTTTCTTCTCTCAAACCCTCCTGACAGCACGGACTCCTACATAGAGGTACTGGATGGTTCTCGTGTCCACCCGGAGACGTATGAGTGGGCTCGTAAGATGGCTGTCGATGCCCTTGAGTATGATGAGTCTGCAGAAGACGCCAACCCAGCCGGAGCACTGGAGGAGATCCTGGAAAACCCAGAGCGTCTTAAAGACCTGGACCTGGATGCCTTTGCTGAGGAGCTTGAGAGACAGGTGAGTGTTGGTCAGATAAARCACTGCATTTGATCAACAACTGAAGGCATCATAGTTCATTTATTGTGGTGTARAACTGAACTATAAAACCCTACTTTTAACTATTTAGCTTCTCTCTTATTTTGCATTGCCCCTGTAGGGCTATGGAAACAAGGGGATTACACTTTATGACATCCGTGCTGAGCTGAGCTGCAGGTACAAAGACCTCAGAGTTCCTTACAGAGTCCCCAACACCGAGGAGGTCTTCAATCTGCTCACCAAGGAAACTCCAGAAACCTTTTATATTGGTATACAATACTGAATGTTACRCTTTCTTTAATAGAACTTTCTAAAGATCAGTGTTAAATAACTAACCCATCTGAGAACCTTTTCTTGTTTTTGCCTCCTTTTTTTAGGTAAGCTCATAACTAGCGTGGTAACTGGTGTGGCTCACCGGCGGCCTCAGGGAGAGTCTTACGACCAGGCCATTAGGAATGATGCTACGGGCCTGTGGCAGTGTCCTTTCTGCCAGCAGGACAACTTCCCTGAACTGAGTGAGGTACCAAATGAGTTTTCTGCTTTTCTCAACTTGTACTCAAACGGGCAGATTCTCAGGGCTAAAGTAGRATCGGGCAAAACAAATTATTCATGAGTAATTGTGATATTTAGCTGATTGTGATTCACATAACAATTAGTAGATAAGAATTAAATTAAAGTTTTTACTGTAAATGAGTTCCCCTGTGTTCGTAAACCGTACTAACAAATCATCAGTCAAACTCACTTCTTCATTTTAACGGATTAAATTAATAAGCTGTGAGTTGAGAGTCAGCTAAAACTGTTTGTTTTAAGCTAAAACTCATCTTATTTTCTGCCTTGCCTTTAGGTGTGGAATCATTTTGAYAGCGGCTTGTGTCCAGGTCAGGCCATCGGGGTCAGGACCAGATTAGATAATGGYGTCCAGGGATTTATTCCCACCAAGTTCCTCAGTGATAAAGTGGTCAAACATCCTGATGAGAGGGTCAAGGTGAGGTGTTGCAGATTGACTTTTTTTTATTTGTACAGTTAATGTTACATGTAAAAATCTCTCCCTGCCACTCAGGTGGGCATGACGGTTCACTGCCGCATCATGAAGATCGACATTGAGAAGTTCAACGTTGACCTCACGTGTCGAACCTCAGATCTGGGAGACAAGGGCAACGAGTGGAAGCTTCCTAAAGACACCTACTACGACTTTGACACAGAGGCTGAGGACCAGAAAAAGGAGGAGGAGCTCAAAAAGAAACAACAGAGAACACGTACACCTCCTCTTTTCTCCTTTTATGTAGTTTGCTCAATTTCACATCATTAATCAGAAGAAATTATTCATGTATGAGTTTATGTTTTGTCTCCTCAGCGTATATAAAGCGYGTGATCGCCCACCCCAACTTCCACAATATCAGTTTTAGCCAAGCAGAGAAGATGATGGAGACTCTGGACCAGGGGGACCTCATCATCAGGCCCAGCAGCAAAGGAGAGAACCATCTCACCGTCACCTGGAAAGTAAGAAAATGAAAACAAGTTTCAATCCAAYTGGAAGATAATTTGGTTGGAAAAGGGAAAAATATAAACATAACTCAAATATGTTAAGTTGTCAGGAGTTAATTGTGCTCTGACTCTGTGTTTGAAGGTGGCTGACGGCATCTATCAGCATGTAGACGTAAGAGAAGAAGGCAAAGAGAACGCCTTCAGTTTAGGCCACACTCTCTGGATCAACAATGAAGTGAGTAGTCACTTTTTCCTCTCGTTAGCAGCGAAATCTTCAGCTCATCAAACCAGAACATATTTTAGGGAATCTGTTGTTGGGGCTCCTGCTTTTTTTTTTTATAAGAGTGTGTTTTTAAACTGCCTCTGAAGGAATTTGAGGATCTGGATGAAATCACTGCTCGGTACATTCAGCCAATGGCCTCATTCGCACGAGATCTGCTCGGACACAAGTACTTCCAGGAATGTAACGGAGGAAGCAAAGAGGTGATTTTTCTGGTTGTAAAATTATTTTGTGTTCAAACAATCAGGCTTTGTGCAGGGTCTTAAAAAGTCTCAAATTTGAAAATCAAAATTTTAGGCCTAAAAAAGTCTTAAAAACACCCAGATTTTCATTCTAAGTCTTAAATTTTATTTTGTCAAGTCTTACTATTTTATACTTTCAATCATTCCCAACACGTGTTGGCTGTGTAAATAAACAGAGTAAAGCACAGTAATCAGACGCTGACACAATCTGTCTTCATGAAGTGCTTAGTTTGCTACCACAATTTGTACGTGTTAAACTACCAATCCTGGGATAACTGCAGGCAAAAACGGCACACTTTACTTCCATGTTTTCAACCTCTTTGCCGCTACACCCCCCCACATACAGCAGCTTGTTCACCTGCTCAGAAAAACAAAAGTTCAGTCATGTCCACTGCTTGTGGTTTAAACATGGGAAAGTCTGTTTTCAATGACTCGGCTTCATATCAGTGATTTTTTTTCACTCACTTGGAAACAGTCCACAGCAGTCGACATGAAGGTCTCATATGACCATTTCATTAAAATAATTTGGTGTTCTTGTATTAAAATTAAATATTCTTCATAGCTAAGTTGATAGCNAATTTGTACGTGTTAAACTACCAATCCTGGGATAACTGCAGGCAAAAACGGCACACTTTACTTCCATGTTTTCAACCTCTTTGCCGCTACACCCCACCACATACAGTAGCTTGTTCACCTGCTCAGAAAAACAAAAGTTCAGTCATGTCCACTGCTCGATATGAAGGTCTCCTATGACCATTTCATTAAAATAATTTGGTGTCCTTGTATTAAAATTAAATATTCTTCATAGCTAAGTTGAAAGCAATAAAAGGTTTCTATGTTAAAATTTTTGGGAATATTTGAATGTTTTTGTTAATGCATCAGTTTGTTCTTAAAAATCATTCCTGTTGGTCTTTAAAAGGTCTTAAATTTAACTTACTGAAACATGCATGAACCCTGACTATTGTACYTTATTCTCAGTCGGCTTACAGCAGTTTTGTTTTGTCCTTTGGTAGAAAATGGAGGAGTTATTAATCAAGACAAAGAGGGAGAAGCCAACATTCATTCCTTACTTTATTTCGGCGTGTAAAGATCTGCCAGGAAAATTCATTTTGGGCTACCAGCCTCGTGGGAAACCTCGGTAAGCAGCTGCGTTCTTTGYTTTGATTTGCAGAAGGATGCAGTGGGTTAAACATTAAGTGGTTTCTGAAATTATTAAATTAGCTTTAACAATTAAGGCTATTGTTAACTACATCCTCATGTGTTCGACACACGGAGGGCAGCGTCACTCCCTCCATTTGTTTATAACACTGACGAAATGGTTTTTTTTTTGAGAATTTTATGAGGCTTAAAAGTTATTTCCTCCTTTTAGGATCGAGTATGTGACCATCACCCCAGACGGTTTCCGCTACCGTTCACAGATATTCCCTACAGTGAACGGGCTCTTCCGKTGGTTCAAAGACCATTATCAAGAACCAGTGCCAGGTATTGATGCTTAAAGTTTAAATAATCTATTAAAGCTGTTGTATTATACTATAGAGGACTGATGTTCTTTTCCATCACAGGCATTACTCCTTCCAACAGCAGCCGAACAAGGACTCCTGCGTCCCTGAACGCAACTCCAGCCAATATAAACATCGCAGGTGAGTCCAACTCTAATCCACATGACGTCAGCTGTAGATGCTCTTTGTTCTGGATTAGAATTTATTCTCCTCTGTTGTACTCAGACCTGACTCGAGCAGTCAACGCCCTCCCACGCAACATGACGTCTCAGATGTTCAACGCCATCGCCGCAGTCACAGGCCAAAGCCAGAACCCCAACACCACCCCTGCACAGTGGGGCTCCAGCCAGTATGGTTACAGCGGCAGCACAGGAGGAGGAGGAGGGAGCTCATCTGCTTATCATGTAAAGATATTTTTAATGTGGAAATAAGAAGTTTTTTAGGAGCTCTAAACTGGTTTCTGATTAATTTGACACTTTTAGAGGTTACAGCATTTTATTTTTTAAAGGGATCCATGATTAGTTGTAACATTAGACTTTATTTGATAAACATATATTTTAACTGTAAAATAAAGACAGTAAAAA